ATTGAAACCCAGTTTACATGTTCCTTCAATCATGTATTTGTTGACATCTAATCTGCAGAGTACTGAACTCAATACAGTGAAAGAATTTAAAATAAAGCTACATGAGGGCAGGTACTTTGCTATCTAAGAAAGGAATCTTTGGACACCTATTAACTTATAAAATGTACCGTATTTTCAGTAAAACAAAATTTTATGACCAATTATGTTCATCCTACTTCATTTTCTAGTTTTTCCCCTTTCAGGCCTACTTGTAATGATCCCTTTTTTTTTTTTTTTTGGAACTGTCAGTGAAATACTGGGCTTGGAACTTCCTAAAATGTAACACACCATTACAAAACCTTAAAAAACAAAACCCTGAGATAATTGAAAATTCCTGATATTTTACATGTTTCTCTTTTGAAATCTGAGACATTTAAATACTCCCTTCTGGGCAAGTAGAAACACTGTAGCTGAGAAAATTTACCTTCTGGGATTTGGCTATCGAAACTTATTTCATTTGAAAAGAAACCTATCTGCCTTCCTCAAGCCAGGAATTAACTTCAATACAGAACAGAATCATAATCATGCTGGAATTGTGATGGATACCCAATTCTTTTTTGGCTTTATAACAAAATACATTCTCATGCATTCTTTCTCTGTTAATACAAGAAGTTGTTTTCCCTTTTTCTAAAACCTCCTCACACCACATACAGAATGAGCAGAGATACTGTACAACACTTTAAAATGATGTCAGGCCTCACTCAGTGCTGGCAAAGAGCCAAGAGAGCAATCAGAGATCTGGACCAAGTAAATACTGTATATTTGGCGAAATCATTTGTGGCTGTGTTCTTCAGCACAGCATCCAAGATAACCACCAGCTCTACTTGAAACTTGGCAACTCGTTTCTCCCACTGTTAAGGCTCCAATTGTAAAAGTTGGCTTGCTAGATGGCTTGCTGCTGCTGGCTCTGGTGTTGCTACCACACTTAAAAGCTACTGTGCAGCCCTGGAATAGTTGGAAAAGAGTTTATTTTGATAAACCAACACTTTACAGCTGAAGTTTTAGCATGCTCCTGTGACAAGAGGCTGTTTTACATGTTGTTTTCCTTCCTGACAAAACGAAGAAGTTTATTGCTTAAAATGTAGATAGCTGGATAAGCTCTATTCAAAGAAATTAACATTGAACACTTAAATAAAAGCAAAAAGAACTAAAGAAAAGAATCTATCAACTTCACTATCTCAAAAAAGGCTATCAATGTCAATAATCTTTGATGATCCTACTTTGAAATATCAGGTTGGCTGCTATGGTGGAAAGAGCCCTGGGCTTGGAGTGAGACAGTTCCAGCCTTAAAGATGACAGATGTTTGGACATTGAACTGAGAAGCAATGTAGGAGAGTGGAAAGGATATAGAAGCAGTAGCCAGAAGACTCAAGTTCAAACCTGATGCCATTTGTGTGGCCTGGGTTCCTAGGTCTCTGGGTTCTCTGGGTTCCTATGGACAGGTTACTTTGTCTATGCTGGTTTGGATAATTTATTAATTCTTACCATACAAAACACAAAGTGGGAATATTTTGTCCAAATTAGTTGGGGGAGAAGTGGATTAGATACTCTTTAAAGTCCTTTCCAGCTCAAAGCTTCTACAATTCCTTGTGATATCTGTGTTTTGAGCCAAGTTGTGACCTCAAGAAGCCCTAGCTTCTTCATCTGTAAAGTAGGAATATTAACACCAGCCTCACCTTAGGATCAAATGAGATAATATGTGTAAAGTGAAGAGCTTTTTGAATGAAAACTATGGTTGCTACCTTTCAGGATGCAGTGTTTCCTAGAAATTTTGACGTTTTGCTAGTTGGAAATACTTGAAATACAGGATTGTCTAGGTATCTTTGTAACGAAGAGAGATAAAAAAGGAGGGGGGGGTGCTCCTACAATACTGACAGGTGAATTACATCATAGAATTAGGTTTGGCAGGATAGGTAGAGGAATTCTACCATGCACAACTGAAACAAAAACATTTAAATGACCTATTTCTTTCATAATGCAGTCTCAGTGCCAACAAAGGACCTTGGAAATCTGTCATAAAAATTCCTCAGCAGGTGCATGTTCCTAGTTCTTTAAGGAATGTTGACATAATATCTAGGACCATGACCCTATTCTCATCAAAATAACAGGTTTCCCTCTGGTTCTAGGACAGGCAACAACAAAATGCCAGACCCTGCTAAAATGGCTAAACAAATCTGGACAATTTTCAAATGAGCAAAGCAAGTGTGATTTCTCTTACCATAATTCGTTGACATCACATATTAGCATTCAGATCAACAAAAATATAATACACAGCAAAGTTCGAGTTACAAGGTGATCTCTTGGTAACTGCTCCTCCCTTGTCATAAAAAAACCCCCCAAACTAATTTTCTCAATAGTTTTTCACATGGAATAATACTAACTCTATTGATCTTAATTTTCTTTTTTGGTAACATGTAAAGGACAGCAACTGTCCTGCATACACCTTGAAAGGGGTCAACTGAGGTAATGTTTCCTATGGATAGGTTATTTTGTCTATGCTGGTTTGACTGATTTATTAATTCTTACCATACAAAACACAAAGTGTGAATATTTTGTCCGAAACATTTGAGATCTCGATCTCTCTCTGTCTCTCTCTCTCTCCCTCCATCTATAAGGGGCACCTTATCCAGGATCAATTAGTGAATGCTTTCAGCATGAAATGAGCTGCATAAAATAACAAGAAAATCTGAGTTTGATGACAGGACAGGAACAAATCCAGATGTCCAGACCCGAATTTATCCAAACCAGATGGTTGTGCATTTATCCTTTTCATTTCAGAATAAAGAATCTATTATTAATAAGCCAAGTGGAGGGAAAGTCCCACAACAATTGAAAAGTTCTTCAAGAAAATTGCAGGTATGTCGCAAGACTAAAGGAACCATCAAGTTTTAGGAATTTAGGAAGCTTATAAATTTCATTGTAGTGATTAACCATAGTTTTCCTCTACAAAGGGCATGTTACTAACAGTAATGCTAAAACCAAAGAAGATGTCTTTACTTCTTCTAACTCTCATGTTTGTTTGTTTTTAAACCAGTCTCTGAAGTCCTAAAGTACAATTAAATTCTGCTGGGTTTTAAAAAGGTTTTTTCCCCCTTTAAGTTCTGTTTATCTTCTGTAGATATGAACTGCACCCACCCCTTTAATCTAAGAAAATCTTCTGTACTGATGTCAGTTATTGTTTAGCAGAATTTAGCCATTTCTTGGAGATCATAATAGAAGAACTTACAAAGTGTAATAGCATGGACAAACACCTTCGTGTATTTAAGGGGATGTGTGTTAATTACTTCACCTTCTGATCAGAATCTGAGCAGTACCTTTCAAACTTCAGTTTAACAATCTGACCCATAATCATTAACACCTCTGGTCTGAATGACTTTTGCCACCAGTCTTTCTTGTTTTATAATTCACAGCCCCAGTGAAAGTGCCCCCATGAAATACACAAGCAAATACACGAGAAACCCACCCCACCCCCTTCTTTGCAGTGTTTCAACCTGCCATTAAAATGTAAATGTAATGGCCTCATTAGCCGGTAAACAATACCCAATTCCCCTTTTTCTTTTGGGCTAAAGACAATGTCTCTTCTTCTAGGCAATTCCCAATGTCCTGGTAAAAAAAACTGCACAAGGACCCTGGTCTTCCTTGTCTCTATCCTAGGCCATTCATTGTTTAGTGCGACTAGATTTGTCATTTGCATGCCATCCATGAAGGGGAAAGAAATGTGACTTTGGGCTTTAAATCGGTAGATACATGTTAGAGTACCCTGCTAGGCAATTCTCAACAATGTTTGACTTACACAAGAGCACATGTGAAAATGACTTACTAAATTTTCAGTAATTGGGGGACGGGAGAAGAGGTCAATTTTTACTAAGTCTTAAGCACTGATTCAGAAGAGAGAGCGCTGAAATGTTAATGAAAACAAATCCTTGTAGCCAAATGATTTTTAAAAATAGCTAAGTAGGTTTTGAACCTTCTCCACTAGGCTATCCAGCATACTTCCCCCCCCGCCCTTATTAGAGGTTCCGAACTCTACAATCATATTAAACACAATTTTCTTAGCAACACCAGGGGAATGGTCCCAGTAAAAAGATTCGGCAAGATGACCAACTGTGTTTCAGATGGGGGGGGGAGAAGGAAAAAAAAAGGAAGGGCCTGCTACAAATCTTCTTTCCACTTCTCTCTTTCTCCCCTAGGATTGGGTTTCATTTCCCTCAGTGCCCCTGACCTTGCAGTTTCAAACTCTACAATCTTCTTCTGCCTCCCCCTTCCCCCCACCTTTCTGTCTCCCCCTCCCCCCTTCCCCTTGGACTGCTCCTGCCTTTGTGTCTGCCTGTCACTTACCGGTGAACCAAATGAAAGCTGATTCAGGAGCAGCACAAAGCCAGCAAAACAGACTTTCACACACAAATTCTCTCACACAGATTCTCCAAAAGCTGGACGGCGCAGCCGGGGAGCAATGCTAATATATCTATCTGGGGCTGAGAAGGGTAGCTTTTGTTGATGCTGGTGGTGGTGGTAGTGGTGGTGGGAGTCAAAGAAAGTCCTGTCTGATATCTCACTCAGCACCTCCATAAACCCCTTAGACTTGAAAAACCCAACCAACCCCTCGAAAGGTCTCCCGGTTCCACCACCTCCAACGTGCTTTTTAAGAAAATCCACTGTGAGTGAGGGGGCGAGGGGAAGGTGGAAACCGATAAATGCAAACCACCCACCAAAGAGAAAAGAAAAAAACACACTCCTATCAGTAGTGGCTCTAGTGTGTAGATTTCAACAAGAGGCGAGTTTACACGCTTACACTTACATAATTGGGGGGGGTGATATTAAAGGGAAAAGTAGCACGCTTCCCCTCCCCCTGAACTTTTTTTTTCTTTTTTGGAAATTAACAAAGAAAAGGAAAGAAAACACACACGCACTCACACACACTCACACACTCTCTCTCTCTCTCTCTCTCTCTCTCTCTCACACACACACACACACACACACACACACACACACACACACACACTTTCCTGCAGCTAAAAAAGCCAGGGGAGCCTGCTCCTGGGAGACAGGACAGTAAGTTAGTTTTCTAGGAGGGCGACACAGGCAGGCAGGAGGGGGAGAAGGTGGCATGGGACTGCAGGTTTTTTTGGGGGGGAATTTTTGTAAAACTCTATTTGTCAGCCATGTTGAAGAGGCTTCAGTAAATTCTGAAGCTTCCCTCTTCCCTCTTTACATTTGGAGGCTGCCACTGAAGGCTTTGCTCGCCAGCACCCCGAAGAAGCCCGACAGACACGGAGGGGAGGAGGAGGAGGAGGAAAGGGAGAGTTTCGCGGCAGTAAGAGAAGCGCTCTGACCTCTTTTTTTCTGTCCCCTCAGCCTTGCAGAAATCCAGCAGATGCAGCCGGGGCTCCTTTCTAACAAATCCTAAAGGGCAGCCATCTTGCTTCCTTCTGCTCCTCTACGAAAGCAGCCTAGCCTCCGCATCAATATTCATAAGGTAGTTTGACGTCTGTTCTCATCACTTGATGAAGCCTCCGTGTTGCTGGTCGGCAGCGCCGAGGGAGCCGACGTGACTCGCATGCGAAGCAACGGGTCCTTTAAGCGCGCTCTAGATGTTGCTGCTGCTGTCTCTGCTGAGGCTGCCTTCTGTGCTGCTGCTGCTGCTCATGTCTGCCTCTGTCTCTGCTGCTGCTGCTGCAGCAGCTTCTGCTTGATCACCGCCTGCCTTCTCCTCCTCCTCCTCCTCTTCTCCTCTCCTCTTCCTTTTCTCCTCCTCCTCCTCCTCCTCTGTAGCCTCCGCGGCTGCTAAGGAACGCTCGGCCCCGCTGCGTCTCTGCTGGCCGGCTTGGGCGCTGTAAATCACTTCCCCACCGAGGGGCTTCCTACACAAAGACTCGCAATATTTTTGGGTGCTGTACAATAGGGCGAATAAGTACAGGAGAGGGCTGCCCTAAAGCTATGGAGTGGAGTAGGAAAAAATAATGGGCATGGATGACTCGTGTGTGTGTGTGTGTGTGTGTGTGTGTGTGTGTGTGTGTGTGTGTGTGTAAAAAACTCTCCCGCTGCTGCTATGCTGCCCAGCAATTTCACTGTGATAGATGTTGCCGACAGAATTCACTTTTGTACTGTACTGCCCCGCTCCAGCTGCCAGGAGGAGGAGGAGGAAGGGAGGGAGGGATGGCAGAGGCATGTGTCAAAGGGAATAATAATGCACTTTTTCTTTAACTAAGGACTTCCACTCCCCTTTCGGTATCCACTTCCTTCATTTACATGGACACATGCTAACTTTCTCTCCTCTCTCTCTCTCTCCTCTCGCTTCCTCTCACTTTAACTTCTTTTCAACTAAAGTCTTCCCCATCACCCCCACCTCAACTGAAAAGAGTTTTTTTAATGTAGGCTTTAAAGTCCTCAAAATTGTGAGATAGTAGCCATTTCCTCCTTAAATTGACTATGGCTCACCTTCTGTTTACTCTGACCACGTGAGCTATGAAGGTGAATGCAAGAGTTCTCTTAGTAAACTAAGGTTTAACCCCACAACCTCCACACCGGTGCTTTTGCTCCACATCTACCTTTAAAACCTCCAGAGGACATTTTGTGAACTTGTTTTATTATTAAAATGCACCTGCCCTTTTAAGAGAAAACCCTCCTCCCCCTTAAACTCAAATTCTGCAGAAATTTCCACCAAAATAATTAAGTAATGGAGAATCTAAAATCGAGAAACTCATTGTCTGCTGAAGCAAATTAATGACCAGTCACTTCTGCCTGCTTTTTGGAATCTAGACCTAGATTTTTTCCACACACGTTGAGTTTTCCTTTTCTTTTGCTGTGTAGTCAGTATTCTGTCTTGACCTTTACTAGAACTTTACTTTTCTTTACTAGAAAAAAAACACCTTTTCATGAATATTATCACTTCTGAATGTTTCATTTTAAGATGAAGTAGAAGACAGTCTACATGCAGATCATTATACCAAATTTTAAAACACTTGTTTCTTTAATAATTCACTTGGTGCTCTTAGCAATAATTCTTTGTGTTATCTATTTTGTTGGATTGCTAGATTTTCATGATAGACTCAGTTTAGAAATTATTCTGACTTGCACCGAATCTCCCTTCCCCCCTTCCTCTACTTTGGAGAGCTAGGGAAGTATTTTCCCAATTTTATAAAATATTAAGAAAAATTTCTTTTTTGAAAGAGATGATAAAAGAGTTACTCCCATGTAACATTTCATTATTCAGAAAATCTCACACACACACACACACACTGCTATCTCATTTTATTATTACCTCGTTTTGAAAAATGACCACCTCTGTGCCTTTGCTTTGGCTGTCTCTCTTGCCTGGAATGCACTCCCTCCTTACTTTTCACTTCTTAGGATCTTCAGCTTCTTCCTTCATGAATCCTCCTATGTAGGCATGTGTGAATAGACACATCTCCCTGTACTAGGTCATAAACTTCTCTAAGCCAGGAACTATTTGCTTTTTGTATTTGTGCCCAAATCCTGAGCCAGTGTCTGGTATGTAATAGGTAATTAGTAAATTCCTGTTGGTTGATTGAAATAAGTGAACAGATTTTTACATTAGGCATTGTAAACAAAAAACATTGTGATATTGTTGTTTCTTTGAATCTGTGTGATTCAAAGTAGTTCATGTGATAATAGACTTCGGTCTTTTCTCTTTTGGAACTAATTTGTCATGCTGTGTTTTGGTTCAAATCAATTCAACAAACATTAAAGCACCAATTATGTATAATACATTGTACTAGGAGCTAGAAATACTAAGATGAAAAATTATGTATCTCCAGTCCTTAGGATATTATGGTGTAATTGGTAGAGGGATCAGGGTTGTGATAATATTTAAGTGTATAAATATATGTATATAAATTATATTTATTTTATATAGAAATATATCATATGTAAATATGATATAAATGAATATGATACAAGGTAGGATGTGATGATGGCAAATGAAAATATCATATTTCTCCAGATTTTGAAAAGAGACTTCCTGGAGGAGGTGTCATTTGAACTAGGCCAGGAAGGAAGGAAGGAAGGAAGGAAGGAAGGAAGAAAGGAAGAACAGGATTTCAACGGGCAGAAATGTGGAGAGGTAATATTCCAAGCAAGAGATGGCCTGTTAGAATATACAGAGGCCAGAGAGAGGAAAAGGAAATCAGCATGGTTAAACAAGACTTGAAACAGATTGGATCCAGACTGTTCAGGGTCTTAAACTGTGTATTTCATCTGTAGAAAATAAGGCCAATAGTGACCCCGGCCAACTTTAAGGACTTTGTTGGGATTTTGACTGTATCTTCTTGAAAGGTGAAATTAAGGAAGAACCATTGGGCTGAGCTGTTCCAAATTTCTAAACTCCTTATTCCCCCCCCCGAAAAACCTTCGGAATCCCCATTTCTATCGGTGATGCCACCATCATCCTTTCAAGCACTTAGACTCCCAAACTTTGAGTCATCTTGGCTTCTTCCTTAACTCACAAAATCGTTTTAGTTACTAAGGCTTTTTTTTTTTTTGTTCAATCTTCATGTCTCTCACCTCTATCTGCTCTCCTGCCTTCTCCTCAATCGGATACATGTCACTTGGTTTATTGCGGCAGCCTACAAATTGGTTCTCCTCCCTCCAGTCTCCCCTTTTTTCAATCTGTCCTCTCCTAGCTGCCAACTGATAAGGTGCAGCTATGACTACATCACTGCCCCCCCAAAACAAAAACCATGGCTCCCTATTTCTTTTAGATTAAAATGCAGTCTGGCATTTAAAGTCTTTTACAATCTGGCTCCCTCCTACCTTTATTCCCAGTTGATTTCATATGTGTGCTTGCTTGACACTACTTTGTATAGTCTTTGTATTTACTTGTGCATTTGTATGCCCTTGGCAGTTCTTGACTTTTGTCTCTGTGTCCTCAGCACACAGTATGATACTTAATACTTCAATTGACTTGATCATTCTCAGTGACTCCCATTTGCCTGGTTGCATCTTCTTTGAACCTTATTCTATAGGTAATAAGAAGCCCCTTGGGGTTTCTGAGTAAGCGTTGGTATGGGAGTGGACCTGTACATTAAGAAAATGAATGTGAGAGCTGTGCAGAAATTACATTGGGGGGGGGAAGGAAATGAAGACAAGAAGATGAATTACAAGGTCATCTCCCTGGGGGAAGAGGAGATAGGGCAGGAACAAAGGGAGTGGAAAAGATGGGACAGATGTAAAGTATGGAACCAAATTGATAGGACTTGACAATTGGTTTGATGTAGAAGCAGATGAAGAAGGAAGAAAACTCCAAGCTATAACCTAAGTTTAAAGCTTAGGTAAGTGGCAAAATGTGCACATAGTCTGTGTAATCAATATAAATGCAGAAATTGGATGGAGGGGCAAATAATGAACTCAGTTTTGGGGCATGTTGGGTTCAAGGTGCCTGTGAGCAATCCAGGCATATCACTGATGTGCAGTAGGTATTTGGGGGCCCAGGACTAGATTAATAGGGAGAGATTAGGACTGGATATATAGATTTGGGACTTTTGTACACATGAATAGCATTTTTATCTCTGATGCTTGCTGCCTTGTGACCTTGAGTAAGCTTAATCTCTCTGAGACTCAGTTTCCTTACCTGCAAAAAGAAGGGATTTAACTAGATGGCTTTTGAGGTTCTTTCTAGCTCCAGATTCTGTAGGGGGTTGTTCCTTTCACATCTGATTGGCAATTCTGTGAGATCTTGGGAGTAGAGAGGAACCCCAAGGTAGAAATTATAGAAAAAGAGGAAAAGAGTGCCGAGAGACAGAGCCTTGAGGGGACATCTATACTTGGAAAGGAGTAGAAGATGGATCAGTGAGACAACCTGAGGAGGACTTAATAATTGTTGCCACCTAATATATGGGGGTGGTGGTGTGTACTTTGGAAATTAAATTTACAACTTTCAAAGGCTATTATCAATACCAGCAATCTTATAATTTCTAAGAGTTGTCTTTATTTGGTTAGAGACAAATGAGGTTGCTATGTGCCTTTTTAAACTTGGAATAAGCAGAGGAAAGATACATTTACATATATTTGTTTATATTTACTATATTTGCATTTTCCTTTGGTTACTTTTATGGGGGTGTGTGTGAGAGGGGAGGAGATCCTTAAAGTCTCCTCTTTCTCATTTCATCTTTTAAATAACTTCCTTCTGTAATAACAGGTGTTTCTAGTCCATCTAGAATCTTATCTGGTTTGCAGTTAGGGTTTTGCAACAGGACCTGAACCCTTTCTTGCCAAATTTTTCTTCTCTTTCCACTTCCTCACAAATCACCATTAACAGTGTTAATTTAAAGGAACACTCAGTGCCCCTAAGTCATCTCTATGCTGACTTGTCAACAGCTTGTTGTACACAGTAGGAAAATAATAGATGTTTGTTGAAATGAATGAATAGAAAATAACTGAAGTATTGAATAATTACTTTTGCTCAACAGTTTTACAAACTATTTCTAAATTGCCTTGGGTAGTGGAGAAAGAAGACTACATTGTATAAAATCATTGTATATTGGATCATACTTTCCCATGTGCTTTTCTAACCTCCAAACCCTTTTCATTCAAAGTATGCCTTCTTGGGATTCTTCCTTCTCTAGGTGTGGTTAGTCTATTTTAAAATATAATTCACAGTTTTAACAACAGCCTACTATAATCAAGTTCCTCACAGTCTTACTAAAAGCAGAGTGCTACTGTAGCAAAGGGGAAGCCCTTGATACTCAGATGTTTCCTTTAGTGAATACATTATTAACATGTTTCCTTTAGTGAATACATTACTTCTAGATTAGGTAACTGAGTTGATCAACCTAGGAACCCACTAGCTACATCAGTGACCCAATAAGTACTAGTGGGAAAGCCACTTACATTAGTCCCCAAATCTGTCCCTTTTCATTTACACACCTAACAAGAGTATCTTGCTTTTATAATGCAAATTTCTTGTGTTTGTTTGAACACTTTGGTAATAGATGTAGACAATCTTCTCTTCTCCCCCCCTAAAAACCTAGAAAAATGCTAAAGATTCTTTTCTTCTTTACTACAGGAGAGTAAAAGGGGAGGGAGGTTGGGGTCCAAGTAGCTCTTAAGTAATTACACTACTTAGAGCAAAATAATAATAATAATGTCTGTGCCACACATTCTGTTCTCTCCAGTCTTTGAAAAGAGATTTCTGAAGTATGACATACTAAAGATATTTAGAGGACATTTGCCCTTCATACAGGATATCAGCAGTTGCTTTGAAGGATTTGTGGGCTTCGTTCTTTTGTCTGGTGGCAGCAGTGTGTATAATGTGAGAAAGCATACTTAGAATGGGGCTACTGATTTTCTTTTTAAATAGCTCAATCTTTCATAGATTTATTATTATGGGGATTTAAGAAAAAAAAACTGGGGCATACAACCCACTTAAGACGGTTATGATACTGTCTTAACTCAACATTTCATTTCTATTTTATTTCTTCTGATACTATTCTACCCAGTGAGTTTGTCTTTATTTCTGTATGTTTTAAGAAATTAAAAAGAAAATATCTTGAATCCCCCAAAGAAGAAAAACTTCTAAACTGTGATTCTTTGAATGAACAGAATAGTTTGGCATATGTTTAAATCTGCTGCTTGGGATAATGCTAACTTGGTAGTATCCTTTCTGAATGGCTTTTATCAGATTATTCTTGAAGATGAAAGTGAAAGGTATAATGCAAGATAGTGCCACATTATATACAGTACATTCATCATTTATTTATTCAGTATTAATAACCTACTGTGTTCAAGGCATTATGGCAACCACTGGGGATACAAAGGCAAAATAAAGACTAATCTCCTCTCAGGGGACTTACGATCTCCTGAGGGTGGTGGAAGAACAGGAAGAAATATTTATGCAGAAAATGGATCATTTTGATTACATAAAATTGAACAATTTTTGCACAAACAAAGCCAATGCAACCAAGATTAGGAGGAAAGCAGAAAACTGTGAAAGATTTTTTTACAACCAGTATCTCTGATAAGGGCCTCATTTCTAAAATATATAGAGAACTAAGTCAAATTTCTAAGAATATGAATCATTCCCCAGTTAATAAATGGTCAAAGGATGTGAACAGGCAGTTTTCACATGAAGAAATTAAAGCCATCTATAGTCATATGAAAAAATGCTCTAAATCACTATTGATTAGAGAATGCAAATCGAAACAACTCTGAGGTACCACGTCACACCTATCAGATTGACCAACATGACAAAACAGGAAAATTATAGATGTTGGAGAAGCTGCGGGAAAATTAGACCACTAACGCATTGTTGGTGGAGTTGTGAAATGATCCCACCATTCTGGAGAACAATTTTGAACTATACCCAAAGGGCTATAAAAGAGTATGCACAATACCCTTTGACCCAGCAACAGTACTTCTAGGCCTATATCCCAAAGAGATCATAAAAATGGGAAAAGGACCCACACATACAAAAATATTTATAGCAGCTATTTCTGTGGTGGCAAAGCGTTGAAAGTTGAGGGGATGCCCATCAATTGGGGAATGGCTGAACAGGTTGTGGTATATGAATACAATGGAATACTATTGTGCTATAAGAGGATGAGCAGGCAGACTTCAGAAAAACCTGGAAAGACTTGTATGGACTGATGATGAGTGAAGTGAGCAGAACCAGGAGAACATTGTCCACAGTAACAGCAACATTGTGCGATGACTAACTTTTATAGATTTAGCTTTTCTCAGTAATGCAAGAATCTAAGACATCTCCAAAAGTCTCAGGATGAAAAATGCTATCCACATCCAGAGAAAGAACTATGGAGTTTGAATGCAGATTGAAGCATACCATTTCCTCTTTTTTTGTTCTGTTTTGTTTTGTTTCCTCTTTCTTGTAGTTTCTCCTATTGCTTCTAATTCTTCCTTACAACATGATTAATGTGAAAATATGTTTAATAGGAATGTATATATACAGCCCATAGGCAAATACACAGTAATCATAACTGTCAATGTGAATGTGATAAACTCTCTAATAAAATAGAAGTGTTTAAGAGAGTGGATCAAAAACCAGAATACAACAATGTGTTGTTTGCAAGAAACACAGTTGAAGAACAGAGAGGCACACACGAGCAAAAG